AACAACCCCAGTCAGTGTACCCCTCAACTAAAATACAATTTTACCCCCCCCCCCCCCCAAAAAAAACTCTTTAAATATATTAATAGTAATAAAGATCAGATCTGAGCATGTAGGCCCCTAGATAACTTAGAGTTGGTGACTGGAGACATAGAGAGGGCACCACCTGACTCCACTTTGACTTCTGGGAGAGTCCTTCTGACTCTTGAACACTGTCTGTTCCTATTACCCAGCAGGAGCTCACCTGACTTCTTTCTGACTTCTGGGGGAGTCCTTCTGACTCCTGAACCCCGTCTGTTCCTATTTCCCAGCACAAACTAATTTCCCATAGTCGGCATCCTTTCTGTAAGGCTGTGCATACCTGTGCAAGCATTGGGTGCTAAACCCTGGAACTAGGACTGGAGCTTTCTTCTCTCCTGAATCACTTTGAAACCTCCCAGTTCCAGGATCCCAAACAAAATCCAGACAAACCTTTGCCTCCTGACACCTCTCTGCCCCTCTGGCTGAGAATGCTGGGTGATCATGACACCCAATTCTACAGTGGAATTGCCACACAATACCACAGTAGTTATACATGATTAACATATATAACTATAAAAGAGGTCCATATAGTGAACTTGGTGCAAAGTTATTCACTTTAGGGTCACTGCAGAGAACAGGTAGGTACTCTGCATGTAGCCTTATCTGTAGTTGTCAGAGACTTGCAGTGCCTAATGGGATTGTAGTTGTACCACAGCTGTAGGGCTAGGATTTGCCTACCCCTGGTCAAGAGAAAAAGACAAAGTTATTCACTATTGAGCCGAAGGACATTGCCATAGCTTCAGCTAATCCTTCAGCTTCAGCTAATCCTTCGCTTCGGCCGCAGGAGCCCTTTGGCTCAGCCGAACTGAAGGGCTGCTGTACGGGCTATTCACAATAGCCTGTACAGCAGCCGAACAACTCAGCCAAGCCAAATGCATATGCTTTGGCTCAGCTGAACACACAGCCGAAACAGAGACACCGTTATCTGCGCAATAATATAAACAAAGGAGAACAAAAGAAAAAAAGTTAGAAGGGATCCCCCAAGTTAAAAATAAAAAAAGTCCATGGGGTTCCACCCAAAAGTCATACCAGGCCCTTTAGGCCTGGTAGGGATTTTAAGGGGAACCCCACTCCCAAAAAATGGGGGGGAACCGCAGGGTCCCCCTAAAACTCCCAACCAGGCTCTTAATCCGAGCACAGGCCTGGCGTGCTAAGGGGGCCAAGGCGTCGGGTTTCTGTTATTTCAACGCGTTGACGGGCATAATTTTTTTTTTTTTTCAACAAGTCAGCGGCAGCGTGGACAACACTGACAATCATCGTGATGATTGACCCTTGGATTATGGTGGTGGACTAATTATTTTAGTTTTGTAGTTTTGTATTTGTTAAAGGATTTTTCTTAAAGTCTGGTGTGTTTAATTACTTTTTACTTTTAACCCTTTATGAAAGGGGGTACCCCAATGCAAATAAGCCCCCCTGCCCGCAGACCTCCACAACCAACGGGTCAGGGTTTGCGGGGAAGAGACCTTTGTCCCCATCAGCATGGTGACAAGGTGCTTTTCCACGGGGGACCCTGGAGAAGCACCCTCCCATTGCCCAGGGAATGTGGCTTGGTATGGTGCAGGGAGGGGTGGACAAGCAAGCTCCCTTTTCCTGCCGTGCCAGGCCTGTGCTTAGGTTAAGGGCCTGGTTGTGAATTTTAGGGGGGACCCCACGTTTCTTTGCCCATTTTTTAAGGGGTGGAGTTTCCCCTTAATATTCCTACCAGACCTGAAGGGTCTGGTATGACTTTTGGGGGAATCCCGACTAGCATGATTCTGAAGCTTGGCCCAGCAGAAATTCCTCCAGCCACACAGTTTAGCGAAGATGGAGGGAATCTGTTGCACTTTTTCCATTAGAAATACACCATAGAAAATCTGCAGATAATCTATAGGTGTAGCTTTAGGGAATCAGAAAGGCTTTTTTCCCCTGTTGGAGCATATTGAACCTTAATAGGGTTATTGACTTCATCTGGGTCAACTGTGATTAACTGTGGACATAGGGTTCTGTTTATGGAGGTTTTTCTATTCTTTTTTTTGTTCTCTCTATAGGTTGAACTCAATGGACTGACCATGTAACTGACATATTCATCTAAAAACAAAACCCTTATTTTTGCAGAACTGTTATTTTTAGAACTTTCTCTTAGCTTTCATCAAACTAAAGACAGGGCTTAAAAATTACAGATATTAAATTGCTGATAAATGAAAGTGCTAAACACATAATTCTTACATTTCTAATGACACAGGGTGATGAAAATTTTCCTATCAAGGACTGCTCAGCGTATTCCCTACATGACCAGTATGTGTCTATTACACATGTTAAGCGTTATGGTGATGGTATGCATTTGGTTTCTTGTGGGATGGACAGTGGGGACAATGGAAAATGTGCAAAGAGGAGTGCCTGTGGTTATCCACTCACAAACGCAAGAAGGGCTTATATTTTACATGTGTGAATATGACCGCTGGGACTACATGATGGCTGTGGGTAAGCATAGCACACTGTTTTCAGCTTAATCAACTTACTTTAGTGTCACACATATATATATAGGTCTGATTTAACAATGTTCTGTGACTTTTCCCTAGCTGAGCTTTTGTTTTTGTGCTGGGGCAGTTACCTGTGTTATGGAGCTCGTACTGTGCCCTCTGCTTTCCATGAGCCACGTTACATGGGACTGGCAATACACAATGAGATGCTTATATCTACTACATTCCATATACTCAGGTGAGGTCACAATGCAAAAGTGTACACATATATCTTTACATGTTAGAGTTTTAGAAATTTAAACAGGACTACTTGCTTGTGTTAAGAAGAAACACCATGTGGTTAGGTGAGGAAAAACAGATTTTTTTAAATTAAAATAAACTCCGTTGTGTGGTGCAGTAATTCAAAGGCTGATGGTTATATGGACACCTACAGGAGGAGTTGGACACTGGCAAATAAAACAGCCATTGGCCATCTATGCATGCTTCAGTTTTGAACAAAAGCAGCACGTAAATCACAACACAAAGGGGTGGGACCTGTGTCCCTTAATAGACTCCAGATTTTGCAGTAAGTTAAAAAAATCCTTTTTTTTTATTGTTAATTAAGGGGCACAGTTTCAGTATTCAGAGACTGATGGAACATCCGAAGGCAGTTCAACTGAGGGGTGGACAACAGCACAAAACGCTAATAATCCCACATAACAAAATAGTAAAAATGGGAGAAGCCTACAGCTCAAAGAGCTCCGTAAAGGACCTTACTCCCACAGCTATCAAAGTTATAAGAACGACTCATGAATCTAGTATAATGTGCTTTTACAGGAAAATGCAGAACCTTTGCTTGAAGCCATAAATCTGAATAATAATTTTCTGAGCCACCAAGAAATGGTGGATCGAGAAGCCGATTCCACTTTACCAAGGACTTGTCTCCAAGGACTTGGGTTGCAATAGTGCAGCCATCAAAGTCAGTTACCTGTGAAGCAGAATGGTAAATCAGTTCATGGCACTAAAGATCTAGACTGTTTAGAAGAGCCCACAAAACATCCCCCAGTAGTCTGCCAGATAGGAGTACCACAGTCGCCAAGGTCAATCCGGAACTATGAAGTTCACCAGAATGCCCTCCATCTCAATCCTGTGGCACAGATGAGGAAGGCGTTGCAAAGAGGAAAGGTGTAGATCAGATTGTACTGAGCTACCAGAGTATCGGCTGCTCCAGCAGACAATCTTGTACCCACATCCAAATCTGTCCAGTGTGTTAGAAGTAACCAACAACAACAAAGTTAACGTCCAGCTCCCCTTCCTTCAGCACAGGTCCTGGAACACCTCCAAGTATAGGGTCCAGCCCCTACAATTCAGGCTCTCATGGTAATCTGCCTGCCTATTGTCTGTCTGGCATATAAACAGTGGGCAGGGCTGCAATAAAGTAGACATGTTATCTGGCAAAAAATTATTTTAGTTTAATTTAGTTTCATTTGGGATGTTGCGTTTTTCGGGTTCGGGTGTGAAAGTCAAGTAGTTTCGGCATTTGGATTCGGCTGAATCCAAATGTTTTGTTAATTTTTGATGAGTTAAATGATAATTACGAAGAAAAATAAGTTGCAGAAAAATGACATTAAATGTTTACTTTGTTTCTTTTTTTAACTTTTGACAGTCCACAGAAACAATAAAAAAAGAAAAAGCGTGCAATTCCCCCAACAATTCATTCCACACCCTTTAGGTCTGGTAGGAATTTTCAGGGGGACCCCAAAGCCAAAAAAAGGAAAAAAGTGAGGTCCCCTAAGATTCCTTACCAGACCCTTAATCCAGACAGTAGCCTGGCATGCCCTCAAAACTGGAAGAGTGCTTTACCGGGGGACAAAGGGCCTCTTGAAGCCAAGGGCCTCTTCCCCACAACACTGGCCCGTGGTTGTGGGGGCCTGGAGGCTCATCTGCATGTGGGTATCCCCTTGCACAAAGGGGGTACCCAGATGCCACCTCCTCCCTTGAGAATGAGTCAGGGGAAGTCGTGCCCTTACTCATTCACGAAAGAGTTAAATAAAATGTAAATAAACACACACCTTAGAAAAAATCCTTTAATTGAACAAAAAACTAGGGATGCACCCAAATGGGATTTTGAGACCGAAACCGTAAATAAAAAATTGCCAGGCCGGTACCAAAAATAACTTTTTTTTCCCTCAATCTTTTTTAAAAAAAATGTACATTATTTTTAATCGATTTTTCTTTCTTTCTTTTTCTTTTACTCTACTATTGGGGGCTCTAGGGAAATATCAGGGGTCCCATGATATTTCCCTTTTAAAATAGAAAAAGAGGTCCTCAATCTCTTTTTCGTCAGCACCTGCTATGGATGAACAAGGAAGCCTCTGTTCATTCATACATGAATGAACTCATACATATAGTATGAGTTACTAAGTCCAAAACCATGAATGAATAGGAAGTGATCTAGATCACTTCCCATTCATTCATAACTGGGACATAGTAAGCACACGATGTCCAGTTATTTAAAAGCATTCAACGATTGTTTGTATACCCGCTCTCCATCCTGAATTGGCTGTCACAGGAGGCGGGGCAGATGGTGAGGGAGGAGGGCTCCATCTACTGTGGGAGATCACAGCACTCTCCTGCAATCATAGCTCTCCATCCTGACACGAGGCGGAGCCATGAAGTATGGGAGGAGAGCTCCACTTCATGTGAGAGGTCACTGCCCTGAACCGCTATCCATCCTGACACAGGAGGCCGAGCCAGGAGATGTGGGAGGAGAGCTCGGCTTCCTTCAACGATGACAACTGTTACCGCCTGCACCGCTCGGCATTCTGAAAGCTTGTCACCTCCCCGCTGGGTGTCTGCACTGCATCAGTGGGCACACAGACTGCCGCCCAGAGAGGCTAGGGATACACTGAATTTTGGCACTTTCAGCAATCTGACAAAATTTTGGTACATCCCTACAAAAAGCACACCAGTTTTTGATAATTTCTTTATTTAAAAAAAAAAATTTCCCATGATGTCAATCCAGCATCGATAATGCCCTCCAGCAATGTAAATTCTTCCAATCTTGCAATCCAGATGCCTGCTGACCAACAACAACAACAAAAACTTGCCGCTCACTCCCCGACCGTATGTTTACATTGGGCAGCGATAAAAAATAAAGCCCGCTATTGGCTATTTCAAATTGCTGGCTAATGCACCCGCCCACTGCCCGATGTAAATCACAGAGGAGCAGACCTAAGAGAACTTTCTCTCTCAGGTCCGCTCCTCTGCGGGAGGAATAGTATTGGCTATTTTGAATTGCAATAGCCAATAGCAGGCTGGCTATTTCTCCACCCACTGTCTTCTGTCAATCAGCCGAGGAGCGGACCTGAGAAAGAACCCTACCCATGTTGAGGGCTTGTGGCCTGGTATGGTGCAGTTGGGGGGGTGCACGATCGCTCCCCCCTTTCCTGCCCTGCCAGGTTGCTGCTCAATTCTAGGGAACACCCAAAGGGTCTGGTACGAATTGCCAGGGCAACCGCACGCTGTTCTTCTTTATTGTTTCTGTGGACTGTCAACAGTTAAAAAGAAACAAAGTAAAGACTAAATGTTATTATTAAAGAAACATTATGAGGCCCCCCTCCCAATTCATACCAGATCCTTTTGGGGCCCTCAATGTGAAGGAAAAAAAACATGGGGTTCCACTACAAATTCATACCAGACCCTTTGGGTCTGGTAGGGATTTTAAGGGGGACCCTAACGCCAAAAAAAAAAGAAAAAACCATACCAAACCCTTGATCTGAACAGTGGCCTGAGTCAGAGCAGGGAAGGGGGGGAGTGAACTGCCTCCCCTTCCTGCACCATACTAAGCCACACGCCTCCGACATTGGGAGGGCGCCTTTGCAGGGGGACCCCCTGGAAAAGCACCTTGTCGCCGTGTCGATGAGGAAAAGGGCCTTATTCCTACAACTCTGGCCCAAGGTTGTGGGGGTCTGTTGGCAGGGGGGCTTATCTGCACCTGCCCCCCTTCCCTTGTGAATGAATAAGGGGTAGCTTTACCCCTACTTATTTACCAAATACACTAAAAAATAGTAAATAAAAACACAACACCTCTGAAAAAGTCCTTTCATTGAACAAAAAACAAAAGATGTAATCCAAAGGTCAATCACGTTGTCCAGCAATGTAGATCCTCGTTAAGCAAGATAAACGACAACGCCAGCTCGCCGAAATTAGAAAAGGCCTGCACACCCGTCTGAACCCGACAACTACCGGCTGCAAAATGACAGCTTTGACATCTGTACTCCCGAATGTGAACAAAGGGGCAGAGTAAGGGGTGACATCACCGGACTTGTTCCACCCATTTGTTTACATTCAATGAGCCACAACCAGTCATCGGGTCTTTTGTTCAACTAAAGGACTTTTTCAAAGGTGTTGTGTTTTATTTTAAATTTTTAAGTGTATTTTGTGAATGAAAAGGGGTACAACTCATTCACAAGTCGGGTGGTGGCATCTGGGTGCCCCCTTTCCCGCCCTGCCAGGGGAACCGCACGCTGTTTTGTATTGGTTTATTTTTTTCATCGGGGTCCCGCCTAACATTCCTACCAGACCTAAAGGAGCTGGTATGAATTGGGGGGGACCCCACACTGTTTTTTTATTATTATTATTTCTTTTGACTGTTTAACACTTTTGTGCATTCTGTGACATCTGTCAGATTCTTTGTTTACATTCAGGATGCTAGTCCCACTAAATTTCAAAAGCAGACCCTTGAATCGAGCAGTAGCATGTCATTTTTAAGGAGCTTACAGAGCTCCTGGGTTTCGTGCAACCCTGTGGGTTTCGTCCAACCCTGTTTTAGTGTATGATTTTTTTAAAATAAATATATATTAGGGATGCTTTTAAACCATTGCACCATGCTGAACCTCTGTTAATGATATGACAAAGAATTTGCATAAATACTGAAAACAAATTAACCCCTATGAGAAAAGTTATATACTTTGTAAAGTTAATCAAATAAATCAGACTCCAATAAATAGTTTGAACCCTAGGTGATAAAGTTCACAGTGTAAATCTCTTATGAGACTTGATAAGTGTCCAATAAATCAAACAATGCATAAGTGTTCATACACATCAATATCAAACAGTGCTCAAATGCAGATTGATGTTCACATAAATCTGTATAAATTCTGCAATTGGGAACTAATGCCTCTAAGATATGCACGGAGTATGTTCCTTTAATGATCGATCTCCTCCGATATATAATGAGAAAATAAAAAAACACTCAGCAGAAGTTTCTGACCATGCATTCAAATGGTCATACTGCGCATTGATGAGCGTGCACTCCTTCAATACCGATCCTCCCAGTTGTCACTAGATGTCGATAATCATCTTTCCACTCACACACCAAACGAAATCCAAGGCGCTCCCCCGCTCGATTAAACGATCCACCCCACAAAGGGAAAAGGGATACATTAGTGTAGTATATAGAGATAAAATATTTATTAAAACGTAGTAACTTACAAGTAAGTATAAAATCAACAGCAGGCTGAGCATCCACCACAAAACCAGCATCAGATGAACTCAACAAAGCACGCACCACCTCCTACACGTTTCATCAGTAGTAGCAGCTTCAGGCTGTTCAGTTTTAAAAGTTGTGCACACAACATACATGAGAGGTGATATGATATCAGTTGGCTGAGACTCCTCGGGAACAAAATCATCCAATACAGATTTGTGAGATTCATCTTCTGTGAGAACACCTGCAGCTGAAGCCGCAGAGGCTGCAGCAGCTGCAGTAATTCAAACAACGATTTTGGAGGGGAAGGTATAGAAGCACTCTTAAGACCCCTCTGGGGTCAATATGGCTGCTAAGAACTCCTCCCTGGGTGAGGCAAAGGAGGGAACCACACTATGCTATGGAAGCTTGGAGGAGTGTGTGGACTTAAGGGAACAAAGATCCAAGCTGTCAGTGTCTGGTCCCTGACGAAGGACACTGCAGGCCACCACAGAGCAGTCAATGGATTGTGAGCTGGAAAGACCCAACGCAGCAGGACCACTCCCTCTGTGTTTGGCACTCAACATGTTGCACAGCTTAATGGGAACTATTTCATAGAGAACACCAGGAAGACCCTTGGTTACTCACAACAAACCATCTGCTTAGCAGGAGAGGTTTAATGGACAGAGGTGACCGCGTAGGTGTCAACAAAGACTAACACGTGTAACAGCATGTGTCTCTTGAAAATTGGAACAATAGCAGGGTGTAGCAACCTTACACTGAAAAGACAGGAACAGAGTGTGCAGAGCACGTGCGACACAAGCAAGTGAGGCAGCAGTTATTTTTTTTGTGTGATAACCCGTTCAACACAAGCAGATAGAACAAGGGTGTAGTGTTGGCATTCAATGTTGCCTTAATTGTAGTAACTCCTGATCAGTTACACATTCTTAGTGTTCAGAGACTGGATGAGAGAGCTGTGCCCACTGCTCTGTTCCTGAAAAGTATCTTCAGTTAACTTACTCAGTACACAATAGACATGTGCACTGCCAAAAAATTCGTTTCGTTTCGTTTTAAATTCGGATTTGTGTGATTTTGTTTTTCGGGATTCGGGTGTGAAAGTCAATTCGGATTCGGAATTCGGACGAAATTCGGTAGCGGTAGGTTGAACGTTCGTTTTCGGTTCTTATTCGTTTCGTTCGTGACATTTTCTCTAATGTCACTTTGCTCCAACGAACGAAACGAATAAGAACCGAAAACGAACGTTCAACCTACCGCTACCGAATTTCGGAAATGAAAATTCGGATTTGTTTGCATTCGTTATGTCTGTAATTCGGAATTCGGATACATCCGAATGTCCGAATTTCCGAAAATTCGTCTGAATTTCGTTTCGGATCGAAACAAATCGCACATGTCTAGTACACAAGGTCTGGCTAGCACCACTGGCAAAGCCCAGGAAGCCTTGCAGTCTGAAGAAGTCCAGCAGGGTCTGGGTACAGCCTTTAACTCCTGTGGATTAGCCAATGTGGATAGCTCAGCAGCAAGGAGATGAAGCCTAGATAGAAGCAAATAAAAATGTGAAAAAAAGAAGTATACTTTTCTCAGTAGAGAATATACGTCCACCCCAGTGGCGGAACTACCGCCGATGCAGCCGGTGCCGCCGCACCGGGGCCTGAGGCTGTGAGGGGGCCCAGTGGGGTCCGGTCCTGGGCACCCCCACAGCCTCAATGGGGTTTGGTCCTGCAATATGGGGCAGTGCAGGGTCCCGGTGTTAGAACAGGCGGCGGGAGAGGAGAAGTGAGTCACAGGACCCGCCCCCTGCACACACCGTCTGTCTGAGACTGAGCTGCGGTGAGGATCTGGCTCGGTGAGTTCGAGCAGCGGTGGGATGGTTTGTTGGTGAGGGTTGTGTGCTGTAATGTAAACAAGTGGATTATAATGGGGAATATTACACTGTAATGTTCCCTATTATAATCTATTTCTCTGATTAAATTATTACATACAGAGCATCTGTTCTATCAAAGTTTGAGACCACGTTACAATTTGTGACCGGTGACGTGGTCACACATTTTAACGTAATCTCTCCCAGTTTTTCGGGGGTGGAAAGAACTCCAACGCTTTGTCAGCTGTTCCAGGGCACATCAGCATCGCAAATCGTATGTGCAGGAGAAATGATCTGCCCTGGAACAGCTACTCTGTCCTCAAATGTCACTTCTATCTGACTTTGCGAGTACGCTGAAATGTGATATTCCAGTCGGATAGAAGTGACATTTCAGGACCGATCAGCTGTTCCAGGGCAGATCCGTTCTCCTGAACATACGATCTGCGATGCCGATCTGCCCTGAAACAGCTGGGAAAGCGCTGGAATGCTTCACCTATTGGCAGTCACACATTTCACCGCAAAAAAACTGGGTGGGATTACGGTAAAACATGTGACCACGTCACCGGTCACACATTCTAACATAGTCACAAACTTTGATAGAATACCGCCATCAGGGGGGTATGGCCGGTACCCATGTGAGGGGTCTGGGCAGCCTGGGGGGCCTCTTACATGGGTATCAACTGTACCGGGGCGGCATGGCAGAGGTGACAGGGGAGGGGGTGGAGGCCAGGCCATAGCAGCAACAGGTAAGAAGAGTTGGGAGGATATACAGGGAAAGGGACCCCGACGACCAAACCAGCCCACCTGGGACCCTGCAGAGCCCACCATAGAGAGTCTCAGGTGGGCTATGCAAGATCTGTGGTGTGCTCTGCAGGGTCTCAGGTAAGTCCAGCACGCTACTGCAATATTAGAGACCGCAGGGGGGGGGGGTCAGGGGCCAGTGTGATCTGCGCCCCCCCCCCAGCCCCCCATCTTGGGAGGGGGGCCCAAGATAAAATCTTGCACCAGGGCCCTTTATTAGGTCCGCCACTGGTCCACACCCTGGATACTAGTAAAAAACTGAACCATACTGGGAGTGGGAGGGGTTATACTGCAACCTTCAGGATGATTTGGACACTGGTAAAAAAATCCCATTGCCTTTTAGGTATAACTGTCAGAACAAGGCATATATGGTATCAATCATTAGCACAGCACCGCTTCTTGAGCATTTTTTAGCACATAATTTGCTGCACGTCACAGTTGTGAGTTTATGTTGCACTATGTTCTTCACTCTAGGTTTGTTATGGTCCCATCACTTCACCCGGATTGGACACTTCTTCTGTTCTTCATTCACACACATGGGACAGTCACAATGACACTCACTTTGCTGTTTGTACCCAAGGTAATTCATACATGTTTATGTGTTCCTACATTTATGCAGGAGATATTTTCCCACCAGGTCTTACTGTAAACATCTTTGTTAGTTCTTGCATGCAGGAAGTCCTCTACAAGATGAGATTGCTGCTGAAGTGTACGAGGATGAGCTGGACCTGAGGCGTTCCCGGTCCAATCTAAACAGCAGTATCACCTCTGCCTGGAGTGAGCACAGTCTGGACCCCGATGATATCAGAGTAAGGAATGAGATGTGAAGCACATGATATTGTAACTGTGAACATAAATACCAGGGCAACACTATGCATAATGCATACACAGTGTTCCTTCACTACCAATACAGTATATTAAACTATACTTTACAAAGTGATAATTGGCATTTTATTTAAGATTTGTTAAGAGAAAATAAAGAAAATCAAAAACATGAAAGAATTATATAGCGTTTTGTTGGATCCCAGATATGCATTCAGCAATTTTCTGTTATATCAGGATCAGCTGTGGGGTGGGAACAATGAGTCTTTTAAGAGGACAAAAAAGATTTGTATGTGAAAAAAGGCATGCAATATTGGTGTTTTTATATACCGTCTTTTTCAAAAGTTTTAGGCATTTGTGAAAAATCAAGATGCTTTTAAAAATTCATACCTCATTATCAATTAATCTACAAAATGCATAAACAGAAAAAACCCTTAAAGGAGAATTATGAGGTGAGTGCTTTTCACTCACCTCATAGTTCTACATACAGTAGTTCATAGCTAGAGCTCGCGGTATACTGAGCCTAGGGTGACGGGAGGGCGCTAGTTTGTGTCCTCCCGTTACCCTAAGGAGAACTATGGGGAAAAGCCTTAACCCCATAGTTCTCCTTTAACCAAATTAATATTTCATGTTAAATAGGGATAGTTACACAGTCAGATTGTAAAAAAGACACGTCTATCGATTTTCAACCTTTTGAAATATGAAAAAAAGAAAAAAAACCTAAACAGAACGCTATGCCCTCAATTACCCACTGTTGATCCAAAGGATGCACCGATAACGGTTTTTCGGTATCGAGTACGAGTACCAATATTTTTTTCGGTACTCGCCATAACGATGCCTTCTGCCCCAATTATCAGGAAGTCGGGTGGCGGATCATGACCCGTCACCCGGCTTCCTGATTGCCTGTGAAGCTGGTGTTCACCTGATTGGTCAGAAAGCCAGGCTGCTTAGCAACACCTGAAGCCAGCTTCCTAGCCAATCAGGAACCAGGCAGCACGTCATGACCCGTCTCCCAGCATCCTGATTGGCTAGGAAGCCGGCTTTGCTTGTTCCTAGGCAGCCTGACTTCCTAAAACAATCAGGAATAACCCAACCCAGGAGTTGGGTTATTACGTGCCGCCCGGCATCCTGATCGGTTAGAAAGCCAGGCTGCTTAGCAACACGTGAAGCCGGCTTCCTAGCCAATCAGTCATAACCTACCGCCTGGCTCCCTGATTGGAAAGAAAGCCGGCTCCATGCTCCCTCGGCACTGATCAGAAGGAGATCTCCCTCTGTGTAAGCGGCAATCTCCCTCTGTGTAATACACTTCCTCGTGTATTAAAAGCCGGTTTGGGGGACTTGCACGGCGTTCCTTTATTGCGCTTTCAACGCCTGCAACCCCCAACTGGTAGACTCAGCCTCTGACCCTTGCATGGGACCTACACTACCCTGGAATCCCAGCTGTGGATTGCCACTGCCACCTCCATGCCAGGAATCCTCCACTTCAAACCCAGGAAAACCGATAAGTACCTTGCTACAATTGTTGTGAGACTTTCATGTACCAATTGCTGGAGCTGAATTGCCTTGATACATATACTTTAGGATAAGACTTTCCAAATGACCTTATGTTGGCTTGATTACCTGGATGCATTTGCCAAAGCTGAGATATATTCATTTAACTCTATGTGGGTATGATTTCCCTGATGCTGCTGTTATAGTTAGGAGTATTGCATTTAAACTTTGCTGATCTGATTATCTTGATTCAAATAACATATGGATAAGACTTTCATTTAAACCTTGTGCTGGATCTCATTTACTTTGCTGCCTACGCTACATAAATAAGACTTTATGTTAGACGTCAGTCTATGTGATATCTTCACCAAGTTACCCTAAAGAACCACTAGGGGGTATGAAGTAATACCCTTCCTGTGCAAAATCAATTAATCCCTGATCCAATTGGCAGATGATGTCACGAACTCCAAACTCTCCGCCTTAGTCTAAGAGTGACGCCTGGGGCTCAGTACTGATTGCCATTATAAAATACACACCCAAACCCTACCACTCCTCTCTCCACAGTTGTGGTTCACAACCGTAGACTGCTAGGCGTGACACTCTGCCTGAAAGTTCCTGTATCAGAGGTAAGTAACGGAGCATTTGGGTGAGTACACTAGTATCGGAGCATCCCTAATGTTAAACAGCATCAGTTCTCTTAGGTTACCCTGTATTCTCCTACCGGTAGATGTTTGGAACAACCTACCGGCTGAGCTGCTTAATAAGCTGAGTACAGCTCTTCTGTAGATTTAGGATGTATCAGTTGCTTCTGTCTTCTCATATAATCCCAAACAGACTCAATGATGTTGAGATCAGGTCGCTGTGGGGCTATACCTTCTCTTCCAGTGCTCCTTGTTCTTAATTTCACTGAATTTATACTCTTTATGATTTTGGTGGCATGTTTGGAGTGTCCTGCAGCAGAATACATTTGGGGCCATCTGAATGCCTTCCTGTTGGTAGGGTAATTAATGGGTAATTATCTGCCGGTATTTTCAGCACTGCAGAGACCAAATTCACAATGCTACGGTTGCAACCAACTAATTGATGAGAATAGTTGTCAACTATTCTCATTATCGATTAGTTGGTTTGATCCCGTAGCTCTCTCCTCCACGTCATTGAAATGGCCAATAGCAGGCTGGCTATTGCACTTGCTCACTACCTGCTGTATTTTCATTCAGCTGCCATCTGCAGAATCTTGCCACTGGCAGCTCTCATTCCCTGGCTGAAGCTATTCAAGTGCCCTGTGCTTACAATACAATTTTTTTTTTTTAAATGATAAAAGGTGGGAAAGAAATACATTTTCGGTTTCGGCCTGATCAATTCTGCTGCACCATTTCAATGGCACCCCAAACGTGCCTCCCACCGACAGTGTGATTGCCCGCACAGGAACGCACAGTACCACAATGCCGTGTGTTCCAGGCGCAGTGTGATTGAAAAAATATTATGCATGCAGTTTTATTCTGAAGTAAACTTCATGTTTGCAACACTGCATTTGTATATTTTATTTTAAATTAAGGATGGAATTTTTTATTTTTTTAAAAACGATTAATTGAAAAAATGATCTGCCAACTAATCCATTATAAAAATAATCATTAGTTGCAGCCCTACACAACTCCATGTGCAGAAAGGCAGCCCCAAACCTGCAAGAACCCTCCACCATGCTTCACTCTTGCCTGCAAAAACTCACTCCAGACCGTCAGCAAACAAAATGGCTTGTGTTACAGCAAAATATTTTACTGTCTTCAACAACCTCATCCTCCTATACAGCTCACTCTGTTTAATGTAATCACCTCGCTACTGTAATGTATGTGTCACGTACTTGGTTGGAGACCGGTAGTTGAGAAGGCTTCCCTTGCGGTTCATGTCTCTCACCGCTGAGAATGGGGACAGAAGGTGAGTGATGGCGAGTAGCATGAGTGCCAATGGTGGTGTAGACACTGTGCCGGATAGAAGTCCAGGATCAGGATCTTGGTCAGGTGAAGCTGAGGTCAGGCCAAGTGGGCAGCAAGGTACCAAAGAAGGAGATGGGAGCAAAGCCAAGGAGTCAAAACCAGCCGGGCAGCAAAGTACAAAAACAGGAGGCAGAGGCAAAGTCCAGAAAACAGGCCAAGGTCAGGTGGCAGGCAGCGATCAGGGTAGTCCGGAACAAACTGGGTAAGGCACAAGAGAGCAGGCAATCAAACAAGTGGCAGGAACACAGGGAACTTGCTGAAGATCATCCAGCAACTAGGGCAGACTTGTTTATATATATA